CATAGCTCACAGCAACCTCAAACTCTTGGGCTTAAGCGATTCTCTTGCCTCAGCCTCCCAAGTAGCTGGGACTACAGGCACCTACCACAATGCCCGGCTATTTTGGGAAGGGGGGGCGATCATAGTTGGCATTGTTGTTTAGCTGGCCCCGGCTGGGTTTGAAGCCACCAGCCTTGGTATATGTGGCCAGTGCCGTAACCACTGTGCTACGGGCGCCAAGCCTAAAATAGAACATGTTAAAAACAATTTAATTGTACTTACATAGAAAATGGAATAAAGAATTAAACTTTTCTCAAGAAAATGTTTCTGAAAAATTATTTTGTTTGTATAACTCAAATGCCATTTTGTGTTAAACATTGTCCAGGATCAAAATGTCCAACAGGTCCAAATTTTGGCACTCCAAACTGCAATATCAAAATATTTTACCATTTAAGGTTTCTGTCAGTACTGATATCTGACTGAATCCCAGTAAGTGAGTGTTAATGTTACCAAAAGAAATTTCAAGAAGCTGGAATTATGCAGAAATGCTCATTCTCCTAAGATAGCAGAAGGACAAAATTACAAAGAAGGGAGAAATATAAGATCGTAGAATGAGATAATTAGGAATATTTCCTTGATAATGACTAATAAGCCCATTTCCTCTTCCTTCCACGAAGACCAGTCAAGGTCTTCAGGCCTGGAAGATGGAAGACATACCAGCTAACAAAATGTCCATTGCCTGGCAGCTACCACAATATGCCCTGGTTACAGCTGGGGAGGTTATGTTCTCTGTCACAGGACTTGAGTTTTCTTATTCCCAGGTAAGTTTCTGCAAAGAGAAAGTAAAAATGGAGATAATGCTTGGATCCTGGTGAATTTTAATTATAGCACTGCCTTAAATAGGTATATGCTCCTGTCCAAGACCTCCATCTCTTTTGGCTTTGAGTTTCTTATACATGTATATGAATCTAAACAAATATGACCTTTACATCTTGATTCCCCAGATCATGACCATACAGCATGGTAATCTGTGCTATTTGGACTCAGGGAAAGAGTACTTAAAGATTAAAACCGGCTCGGCGCCTGTGGCTCAAGCGGCTAAGGCGCCAGCCACATACACCTAAGGTGGCGGGTTCGAATCCCCAGCCCGGGCCCGCCAAACAACACGGACGGGTGCAACCAAAAAATGGCCAGGCGTTGTGGGGGGCGCCTGTGGTCCCAGCTACTTGGGAGGCTGAGGCAGGAGACTCACTTGAGCCCAGGAGTTGGAGGTTGCTGTGAGCGTGATGCCATGGCACTCTACCCAGGGGGACAGCTTGAGGCTCCGTCTCAAAAAAAAAAAAAAAAAGATTAAAACCAAGGGCTGTGGAGTCAGACTGCTCATGTTCAAATTTTGGCTACATGACCTATTGGATAACATTGAGCAAGTGAATTGTTACTTCTGTGATGCTATTTTTCTTTATATATGAAATAAGAATCTAATAGAACTTATCTCTTAGGGTTGTCATAAAGATTATATGATATAATGAATTAAAATTTTCAATTAAAAGCTCCATTTTATTACTGTTAATATTACTGTTAACATCTTCAATATGATAGATGAACTTAGTTGGGGGAAGTTTCTATCTGGAAGCTTCTATGGGAAAAATTCGTAGATAGATTCATGGGGCATAAGGGTGGAGTAGGGAGAATGCTTACTTTCAAGTGTGTCCTCCCTAGGCACCCTCTAGCATGAAATCTGTACTCCAGGCAGCTTGGTTGTTGACAGTTGCAGTTGGAAATATCATCGTTCTTGTCGTGGCACAGTTCAGTGGCCTGGTACAGGTAAGTATCTGAGAGAAGTAGAAGTTCTTTCATGTCTACCCAAAGTTTTCCCTCCAACTTTCTCTTCTCTCTTTTCTTCCATCTCTCTGCCTCCCACATCCCTCACTCAATGTTATAACAAGAGCTTGATTAAACAAACAGACTTTGTCAGGAAAATAGAGGTATACAAGTGGCAATAATGACCACCAGACACCCATGTGAACCTAGTCTTCTTCCGACAAAAGTCTGCCTAAACTGGTGATCCTAGGACATTCTGCTCCCTAGTCTTGATCCCTTAAGTATCCCTTTAGTTGTAGGTTTCTCCATATTCTTCTCTTATACTTATTTTTCCTTGCAGTGGGCTGAATTTATTTTGTTTTCCTGCCTCCTACTGGTGGTCTGCCTGATCTTCTCCATCATGGGTTACTACTATGTTCCTGTAAAGCCAGAAGATATGCAAGGTCCAGCAGATAAGCAATTTCCCCACACCCAAGGGGATATGATTAACTTAGAGACCAAGAAGACAAAGTTTTGATGACTCCCTGGACTCTATCCTGATCCCAATTCCTGGTCCTGGTGTAAGCCAGAACCTATCTTTAAGCATTTTTTTTTTCCTAGTGGGTTATGCATTGTATCTGAGTTGATCTTCTCCACCTTTCTCCGATGACAGAGGCATTACTAGGACTACCTTTTTCAGTACATCTTTAAACAAGACCCTGGATCTGTCAGTGAACTCAGTAAACCTTGTGCAGTGTTGCTAAACTGGCCTGGTGTCTCCTAATGGCCATGAAAATATAACTGTAAAAGTGAGATCAATCTCCATGGGTATGCAAAGTTATATGGAAATTCCTTTATAGGTACCTGCCATTTAGAACTGATACGCCTGTTATTTGAGGTGCTTGCTGATTTAGGGGCAAAATAGAAGAATAATAGAAATAATATTTCAAGTTTATTTAATTATTCTATCTGGCCCAGCCAGGAGCTGCCTTGTCAGCTATCCAGGTTTGATAAAACATTAATAAATTTTTCAGTACAGATGGTAGAAGACAGGATGCAATTTTGGCAACACAGGAGGAGATATATCTTTCTGATTATTTCAGTATTTTATCTTTTTATCCTAATACCCATTTTTTAGTACTGGTAGATCCTAGCATCCAGATTAAAGATAATAAACATTAGCAAACATGTTCTGGAGAATAGGAATAGGCATAAATTATAGAAATCCTGATGAGCCATTTATCCTTTTAACAGTGCACATTCCTCTTAGGAACCGCAATATTTCAGCCCTGGGTTATGTTCTTCTATGAACAGTTGTATAGATAGTAATTATAATTTTGAAACCTTGTCTTATCAATGTTGCTGAACCAGATTTTTCTTATTTTACACTTTGTCTTCCCTATAGCAATAAACTTGCAATAACAATATTGTTTTTAAAAGTGCAATTTTTTTTGTAATTATTTTATTTACCCTTAAAGTAGTGGTTCCATTTTGATAATTTTTCCTGATTTGCTTTTCCTGTAATTTTAAAATATTATTTCTTTCTTTAGGCCTGAAAATTCCCTTTTTATTTAAAAAAGTTTATACACATACACGTGTTAATCCTTTAGGTTTAATGTTCTAAAATGGCAATACTCAATAGATGGGCATGGTCCAGTATAAGGAACCTATCAAAATTTGTGAGTTGGAGACTGGTAGAGTCTGTGTTTTTTTCTTTGTATGTTGTATGTGTGTTAATGTTGTATGTTTGAAAAACATTGACTGGGCACAGTGGCTTACACCTATAATTCTAGCACTCTGGAAGGCCAAGGTTGTGGATTGCTTGAATTCAGGAGTTTGAGACCAGCCTAAGCAAGAGTGAGACCCTGTTTCACTAAAGATAGAAAAACTATCCAGGCATCATGGTGGGCACATATATTCTCAGCTACTCAGAAGGCTGAGGCAAGAGGATTGCTTAAACCCATCAGCTTGAGGTTACTGAGAGTTTTTTTTTTTTT